GGTCAAGAAGCAGAAGAAGGAAGGAAGGAGGAGAGAGGGAGAGAAGAGATGAAAATATGTGTACAAAATTAAATTGTATTGTTTGGAAATGTATATATGGAGAGAGAAAAGAAGGAGGATGTAAAGGGTTTGGCGAACCCTAGAAAACGCCCCGAAATTCCTGAGGGAACTCGGAATAAACTCTAAGTCTAAGTCACTTAGAGGAAGAAATAAATTTCGTATTCAGGGAGTAAATATATTGTTAGATTCATTAATTTTAGAACTAAATAAAAGAGAAGAGATATATGAAAAATTTGGAAAAAGATTTAAATTTTTAATAGATATAGAAAACAAAACTGTTTCAAATATTGATGATAAAAGTATTAATTTCATTATAGAACATTCCTTATATGTTCTCATCCAGTAAACGTCGTCTGTCCTTTAAAAAGGTAACATTTCGACTCAACAAATTGACGAGAAACGAAATCTTAAAAGAAATGAATATATACAATAAGACAAAATATAGTGGTAAAGATTTAATCGATCAACTCTGGCAAAAAAGAAATTTTATTAAATTTTACAACGTTTCGGCCGTAGGTTTCGACCCTTATCAAGTGCTGTAACATAACATTAACAATTATGGGTAAAGAAAAATTATAAAATATATAGAAACCATAATTGTTAATGTTATGTTACAGCTTGATAAGGGCCGAAACCCACGGCCAAAATGTTGTAAAATTTAATAAAATTTCTTTTTTGCCAGAGTTGGTCGATTAAATCTTTACCATTTTTAATTATCGTCTGGTGATCTTGCAGTTTTATATCGTTACAAAATATAGTATTTACTTTTGCTTTCTTTCGCAGATTAATATCAAAAAACAGAAATGAGTAGAATTATGGAAAGGAGAAATAAAATTAAAGCACATCTCAAATTGTCATAAACTTAAATTAGTTAAAAAAAAAAACATTTTACAATAACTCAAATATAAAAATAAATTTAAAGGTATAAGACAGGCAGTAAGAGCCAACTCGCGGATGACAGTGCGTTATCCTAACGAAACTAAATTTTTCGTTAGGATTAAGTATCTGTGCACAAGGCACCAAATATTTTACTTGGTCACGGCCAAGATAGGATAACGCACTGTCATCCGCGAGTTGGCTCTTACTGCCTGTCTTATACCTTTAAATTTATATTTATATTACAGAGCCTTGTTAAAACTCTTAATCAAATATAAAACTTTTTGCTAAACGTGGCAATTTATCAGTAAAAATTTTACGCAGGAAAATTAATATTATAAAACTAAAAACAAATGACAAAAATACACGTCAACAATGTATACGTGAAATTTGTGAAAATGGCAAGCAAAAGTGAGCTTTAAATTAAAATTGTATATTTAATAGATACATAAAACGCAATGTATTAATATAAACATTTTCGATTAACATTTTTTATACCTGGACCTAACGATGGTGTTAAATAAAGAGGAAGGTTTTTTTCAATTAATATCAAAACAATTTGGAAAGGGGAACACATTTCTTTTAAAACGGTGGCTAAAAATTAATAAAAACGCATGCAGATCACGTCAACAATTGATCCTTTTGATACGACGCAAAAAACAAGACATATTTCCAGCACACTTAAGGAACATCCGAACGAACATCTTTTTTTATAGTAAGAGCGTCAAAAATAAATTTAAATATTTAGTTGCACGGGATAAACGTAGATTATTGAATCTTGAGATCAAAGATTTGAATTGTTACTTACATTATTTAAAGTCTGAAATTAATAGAATTGAAAAGAGAATGTATAAAGTGTTACCGGAAAACTTAGTAGTCGAATTTCTTGAATTAAACAGGCATAACATCAACATTTATAATAGCAAATATAAGAGCAAAGCAATAAAAAAATTTAATATACTAATAGAAAAACAATAGGATGATGGGGTTTCTCAATAATAGAAAAATCGATAGATCTAAATGGTTAGTTAATATTAGTAAAAAACAGAAATTAATTGCCATAAAATTCAAACTGAAACTCTGAAATCAACGAGATGTGGAGTGTCGTGGAGAAAGCCCTTAAAAAATTTTTATGTAAACATAATCACATTATCCCCCGATGGGTTCCCACCTTGACGAAGTCCCGCGGCTGATGGGGTGGGGGGGGTCCGGGGCGGAAGGATATCACCCGTTCAGGGGTGTGACCGACTAGCCTGGGCCCCCTGGCTCGTCCGGCTGCTGGGGCGGGTGGAGGGGCTTGAGGGGGCGCGCGGGGGCCGCTCGCTCAGGAGATGGCAACCGTGTGCGCCGGACAAAGCGGAACCTTCCCAAGCTAAAATGTGTGCAACCGTGCTGAGGGCTGCATGGCGTAAGGGGAGTTACGTCGCTAACGGTGCCTCTCGGATACCGGGCGACCTTCGAGAGTATCGAGCCAAGCCCTGGGCATTCGCGGCTCTGCCCAGGTAAAACCGCGCGGCCGCGGTACTCGTGGGAACAATTATGAGTACTAACCAAAATGATAACTTTTCGGAAGTCCTACAGGGCGTGGCCACCTTAGGTGACGAACGACCTGAAGAAGAAAGCCCGAGCAATTCGGGGGCGGAGCCAAATAAGGCCCAGCCACCAAATGCTAGGGTTCGTTATAGCGGAGCGGCAAGGCGACGCTATAAAAAACAGAAGCAGATGGAGGCGAAGGGGAAAGCTGCAAAGCCCACCTCGGAACTGACATCTGTTTCGACAGTTACTCCAAGGACGGGGGAGCGAGCTTCTTCTGGGGCGGTAAAGCGACTCAGATCGGAGCATAGCACACCCAGCCCTGCCAGTAACACTCAGTTGGGCAAAAGGCCGAAAGTCGTAACTGACCAAAGGACTTTTGCCCAATTGACCTCCGGTCTTGTAAGGGTTGCCCTGGTTCCCTTGGCTTACCCTGACAAAAGACTGGAAAAAGACGAGGCATCGCTTCTGAAAGAAACGGTCAGAAGGCGTATCCTTTGCTTAGCAAGGGGTACCAAAGCGCCTACTTTCAGAGGCACCTCGGATAGGGATGGGGCAGTTGTCTTCAACTGCACAAATAGGAAACTGAGGAGTGGCTTAGAAGCCTAACCTCAGAAATTAAGATCAATGGGATCGAACTGCGTGCACTGCGGGTCGATGAGCTCTCTAAGAGACACCGAATCGTAGTGCACGTAGAGGATCCCACAATACCTGTCAAGGAAGCGTTGGAGCTACTTGACAGGCAGAACGTAGGCATCCAGTCACCGGACTGGGTGATCGCGAAGGGTAGCGAAAGCAGGGACGCCACGAGCACCCACTTCGCTGCCCTTGTTGGGGATGGGGCTTTGAGGGCGTTAAGAGCTCTCAATTTTAAACCCTACTGTGGACTTGGGCAGGCAACGATCAGGTTGCCTGCTGGAGAAAGCAGCAAGGAAGGCGCAAAGGAGAAATCACCGGACCCGTCAGCATAAATATGGCGGACCGGATTCACTTTACGCAGATTAACTTGCATCACAGCAAATGCGCCTCGGCTGTACTAGCCAGGTGCGCAGCAGTGATGCACACAAGTAAATACATATTTTTAATACAGGAACCATGGATCATCAAGGGACATATAAAAGGACTTGGCAGCTGTGGAAAACTATTCTGGGCCGGAAACACGGACCGACCGAGAGCGTGCATTATAGCGAAAGGAATAGACGCCTGTCTACTGCCACAATTTAGCGATGGTGACTTTGTTGCCATCAGACTGAAAATAAAGACGACCGGTGGAATAGTCAGGGATCTAATTATAGGGTCAGTGTACATGCCCTACGATTTGGAAAACCTGCCCCCACATGAAAACGTGATTAAACTCACGACTTATGCAAGGCAGAAAAGGCTAGAAATACTCCTGGGGTGCGATGCCAACTCGCACCACCTGGTGTGGGGGAGCACCGACATAAATCCCAGGGGTGAAAGCCTATTTAACTTTGTGGTAGGTATGGAGCTACACATCCTGAATAGAGGAACAGAACCTACCTTCCTGGACTCTAGAAGACAGGAAGTGATAGATATAACCATATGCTCTGGCGGAATATTGGACCTGTTGAGGGGATGGAGGGTCTCTGATGAGCCCTCAGGATCAGACCACAGGCAGGTCCGTTTCACCATAGAGCAAGTACAGAGCCAAGGGTTATGGAAGAGAAATCCTAGGAAAACAAATTGGAGGGGGTACGAGAAAGACCTTAGGAGTCGACTCAAGGAAGCACCCACTAGATTCCACACAAAAGAAAATTTGGAAACAGCGGCAGACTACTTGAATGATGCCATTAAATACTCATACGAGATGAACTGCCCATTAGAGTCAAAGAATCCTTCAGCCAAAGCACCATGGTGGAGCAAAGAGCTGGCTAAGCTAAGGGCTGAGGGGAGAAGACTCTTTAATAGGGCCAGAAATGTAAATACACCGAGAACCTGGGAGGAGTACAGGAAATCTCAGAGAATTTACAAAAAGGCCATAGTAAAAGCTAAAAGGAAAGGATGGAGAAGTTTTTGCTCAAGTATAGAGAGTGCTCCTGAAGCATCTAGACTGAGTAGAATACTCTGCAAGGAAAACCAAACACAATGGGGCTGCCTTAAGCTTCCCAATGGAGGGTACACAGAAACTGCGGAAGAGACCCTACGGCACCTCATGGAAATCCATTTCCCAGGCTTTAGGGAGGACTCAGCAGACAACAACAACAGGCAGAGACCCATGACCTTGCACAAATCAAGGGCATGGGGACTGGCAGCTAAAGTGGTCTATCTGCAAGCAGTGGAATGGGCGGTCGGTTCCTTCGAGCCTTTAAAGGCTCCAGGACCTGATGGAATATACCCGATCCTGCTGCAGAAAGGGCTGAGCAGCTTGTTAGGCCCAATGACAAAAATCTACAGGGCAAATATTGCCCTCAGACATGTCCCCCAGAAGTGGAGAAACCAAGGTGGTTTTTATACCTAAACCTGGCAAGAACGGTCACGTCAGGGCAAAGGACTATAGACCAATTAGCCTTATGTCCTTCGTATTGAAGACCTTAGAGAGACTGGTGGACAGATTTCTCAAGTCCAACTCTCTAATACAACAACCTCTAGCCGACTCTCAGTACGCTTACAGGGAGGGCAGGTCTACCGAGACCGCCCTACATCACCTGATAGGCAAAGTTGAGAGTCAGCTGGAGGCAAAGGGCTATGCGATTGGAATCTTCCTGGACATCGAGGGCGCTTTCGATAGCACTTCACACGAGGTGGTAGGGGAGGCACTGATCAGACATGGAGTACAAGAACCACTGGTGGACTGGATAGAAGACATGCTAGTGGACAGATGCTTGACGGTGGAGTGCCAAGATATCTCCATCAGAGGAAAACCAACGAGAGGCTGCCCACAGGGGGGAGTTTTATCTCCTCTGTTGTGGTGTCTAGTGATAGACGACCTGCTAAAGGAGCTACAGAAGAAAGGTTTCTCGACCTTTGGCTATGCTGATGACGTGGCCATTGTGGTTAGAGGACCATTTCTCAACACACTAAGGGACCAAGCAAAGGATACCTTAAGGATTGTGCAAAACTGGTGTGAGAACAGAGGTCTAACGGTTAATCCGAGCAAGACAAATATTATGGTCTTCACCAGAAAATATAAACCTGAACCCATAGAGACGTTAAAACTCTGGGGAAAGGAAATACCGTTTACAGACTCGGTGAAATACTTGGGACTGATTCTAGATCCTAAGCTGAGCTGGGGAAAACATCTCATAGAGCAAAGGAAAAAGTTCTATGCATCCATGTGGATGTGCAGAAGGGCAATGAGCAAGTCGTGGGGCATCAGCGCTGGTGCAGCATTATGGCTGTACAGGGCGGTCCTGCTGCCGCGGCTGCTATACGCGTCAGTCGTCTGGTGGACGAGAATAAATAAAGGGGAGGTGGAGAAACTACTTAGAAGCCTGCAAGGTAACTACCTAAGGGCTGCAGTAGGGGCCATGAGAACCACACCCACAGAGGCGCTTGAAATAGCACTCATTGTCAGTGTTACGCCAATAGGATTGGCTGCGATAAAATCAGCCAATACCACGGCATACCGCCTGAAATGTCAGGGTGAATGGAGAAACACAGGACTGGGACACACCAGGCTAGGTCTTCTCCAAAAGTACCCTATTGAGGGAAAACAAGACAGAACCACAAGAAAGTATCAACTGGTAAAACATTTTAAATTATGGATACCTGATAGAAACGAGTGGCTGAAACCGGGCGGGATCATGGACACAAAGGTGGACATGTGGTTCACGGACGGGTCAGGCATAAACAATTGCTTTGGAGCAGGAGTATATGGACCTGGGGAAAACCATAGGGAGAGTATTCCAATGGGAGGCAGCTGCACGGTCTTTATGGCAGAGATGCTCGCCATCCTCAGATGTGCCGAACTGATCCTAACCAAGGGAACAAATTGCAGGAAAATATATATCTGCACGGACAGTAGGGCAGCCCTTCTGGCGTTGGCGGGTGCGACCACCGAGTCATACTTGGTATGGGACTGCATGCTGGCGCTGGAGGAGCTGTGCGGAAAGAACAAAGTAACGTTAGTCTGGGTACCCGGGCATCAGGGCATACCGGGAAACGAAATAGCAGACTCACTGGCTAGAGAAGGGGCTAGCAAAGCACCACATAGTCGGGAGGTGGGAGTGCTCTTTACGATGGGCAAGAACTTCATCAGAGACAGTATAAACAAACAACACAAGGCCAGGTGAGAAAATCTGAAATCCTGCCGACAGGCTAAATTTCTGATGAAAGACATAAATGGTAACAGAACCAAAGAACTACTTACACTGAATAGGCAGAAATTGAGGATGGGGATAGGACTGCTGACAGGACATTCACCAATACTCAAAGCCCACCTATTCAATATCAGACTCGCAGACAGGAAGGAGTGTCGACTATGCGGGGAGGAAAAAGAGGACAGCATACATATTCTGTGCCAATGTCCGGCTCTGGCTAGAAAGAGATTCAGGATCTGGGGACAAAGTTTTCTTAAATCCTAAGAATTAGACAAAACAAGGGTGGTGGAACTCATAAGCCTAGTGGAGAACTCTGGGCTGAGTACACATCACCCAGTTTAAAGACAAGAGTGAGGAGACACAATGGATCTCGCCAGATCTAGGTGCCGTCGGGGGCCAAGTCATGGAACCACTCACTTATTATTTACTACTACTACTACTACTAATCACATTAACCATAATGATAGATACATTTTAAATTGTTTCTCTAATTGCACAAAATTTCTACGTGAGAATGACGATCTATTGGTTACGAGAGCTGATAAAGAACAAGTTACTGTGATTATGGATAAAACTGACTATATTGAGAAAATGAACGTGTTACTTAGCGATGAGTCCACGTACAAAACACTGAAAAAAGATCAGACTAAACAAATTAACAATAAGATTAATTCTCTCGTTAAATCGTGGCGTGACAATGATTTAATCGAAGAGAGTCGACGTACAAATTTCCAAGAAACTTAAGTAGAGATTTTCCACGTTGTTACGGGCTTCTGAAAATGCATAGAACTAATTTTCCTCTAAGAATTGTTATCTCAACTTTAGGCAGTCCTCTAGATAATTTGGCTGATTACATACATGGCATTCTGGTCAAATCAACACAGAAATCAAAATCATACTTTAGAGATGGTTGGTCTTTCGCTAAAGTTATCGAAAATAGAACGATCAATGATGACGAGATACTGATATCCTTAGATATCACTTCCTTATTCACTAACATTCCTAGTGAATTGGTGTTCAAGGCGATTGAAAAACGTTGAACGGAAATAACCAGTAATACTAAATTTAACTTACAATAATTTCTATATGCAATTAGAGTAATCTTAGAATTAACGAGTTTTAAATTCAATGATAAGTTTTTGGCAGCCCGATTAGATGGGATCTCCGCTTTCTCCGATTTTAGCGGATTTAGTACTTGAGGACTTAGAATCCTATTGCCTAAACATGTTGGATTTCACAATTCCTCTATATTATAGATATGTAGACGACATCATTGCTATTATTCCGGAAGACAAGATTGAACAGGTTTTCACGAGTTTCAATAATTACCACACTCGTTTAAATTTCACATACGAACTAGAAAACAATGGGTCATTTTTTTCTACATAGTGACGATAAATTATAAACATAATGATTATTTTGATTAATATTCCAGTATTACCTTCAGTCATATATATGAATTAACGAGAATTCATGTAAATTTTTTAAGATGTAAACGTCTCTAGTTTTACATTTAATATTATTTAGAACTATTTAATTTATTTTTCATTATCTTTGTTTTTCTGACACAGTTAATACGTGACACTATTTTTAAATGTGTTCTGAGTTCTAAAACTAAAAAAAAATAATAGAATATTCATAATTTCATAATCTAAATAAACAGAACTTATATATTATAATTAATATGTATTTCTTTAAAAGTACGTTTTTTAAAAGTCTTTAAAAGTTTACGTTTAATATAAATTTCAAAAATTGTATACAAAAGATATTTTAATAAATATATAAGTACTTTATGCAGAAATAATAATTTTCTCCAACAAGTTATTTTTATAAAATCAAATTGAATACTTAAAACGTCGCTAGTGGTATTTAAAATAGGAACGATATATTTAATTCGACCCAAACTAGCCAAGAAATTTTTATTTTATTTCCACAACGTTTCGACCATCTGTTTTTGGTCCTTTTCAAGTGAAAAACTAGAATGGTAAAATTAATTAAAATTAATAAACATTTTTGATGTTAAACGCAAAAATTAAAAATTTTTTACATACTTCCTTGATAAAAGCGCAGTTAGTTGACACTGTTGTCATGATTATTAAACAATATGATTATCGGAATTGTATATTATAGATATATATATTATGTATATTATAGATATGTGGATGACGTCTTTGCAATTTTGCCACGTAAAAAAATAGACGAGATGTTATCAATTTTTAACAATTATCATCAAAGATTAAAATTTACATACGAAATAGAAAATAATTCTGTAATTAATTTCTTGAACACTAGTGTCATTCGCAATGATAAAAAGCTTATTACAAATTGGTACAGAAAACCCACCTGGTCCGGAAGATATATAAACTTTTACTCCAATCATCCGTTAAAATACAAAATCAACACCATTTACAATCTCATAGATCATGCCATTTTACTATCAGATGATAAATTTCATAATAAGAATATTAATATAGTACAGCAGACTTTTATGAACAATTGCTTTCCAACACATATTATTAAACGACATATAAATAAAAGAATTAATTATTTAAAAAATAATAATAGTAATAATGTTACAAATGAGACTTATGAAGTGCGAGAAAACAAGTCTTCTTATATTTCATTGCCGTATGTTAAAAATGTGAGCGAGAATATCGGTCGTTCATTGAAAAATGCTGGCTTTAGTGTAGTCTATAAAACAGCCAAAAAATTGGACATATTAATAAAACGAGGCAAAGATAAATTACCTAACGACGATAGAACTAATGTTGTGTATAAAATTGACTGTAAAAATTGATTCCTCATATATCGGTCAAACAAAAAGACATTTGCGTACTCGTATAAAAAAACATTCTAACAATATAAAATTACATGTAACAAATCATTCGGTCGTAAGCAAACATAGACAAGAGTTGGGACATGAATTTGATTGGGTATCGCCTGTTATATTACATAATGAAAAACATGTTAGAAAGAGAGAAATCGCAGAGATGTTTTTTTATCAAAAAAGTTAATAATACAGTTAACCTACATAAAGACACAGAGAATTTAAACAACATCTATGACAAAATTATAAAGATCGTATAAAAATTTTATATACTCAGTTTTTTGACGATCCATCATAACGATAAAATGCGGTTACTTTTTTCAAAAGTTCTTTCAAAAGTTATTTCAAATGTTTTTAAAAAATTCCGATAATCATATTGTTTAATAATCATGACAACAGTGTCAACTAACTGTGCTTTTATCAAAAAGTATGTAAACAATTTTTAATTCTTGCGTTTAACATCAAAAATGTTTATTAATTTTAATTAATTGTACCATTCTAGTTTTTCACTTGAAAAGGACCAAAAACAGATGGTCGAAACGTTGTGGAAATAAAATAAAAATTTCTTGGCTAGTTTGGGTCGAATTAAATATATCGTTCCTAAGTTATTTTTAGTATAATTGCAATATAATTATATAAACAATTATTAAATATTAAAAAAAATAAAGAAAGTACGGCACTATATTAAAGCCATTATTGGCATTGAATATGAGCATAATAAATTAACCATTAATGGCTGAACATTGTTCACCATGTTTGGCCGCGTATAATTATCCTTTATCGGACCGAAGTTATCATTCCATAATATTCCCATTGATAGGCCAGTTATGGTTGCTATTACCGCGCCAATATAAGTAACCTGGTAACCAATTTTGGGTATTAGGCCAATTGTAAAATCCTATAATGTATAATAGATAAACTCTAATAGTTAACCAATTAATGAAAGGTGAATATCCAAATAGGATATTATAAATGTAAATTATTTTATATTTAATTAGATTATTGTGTGTTATAATTAACGATAGGTTAACGCCCGAAATTTAATGATATAAATATATATTATATTCTATTTAGGTAAATTTTATTTGGAATTTTGAATTAATATTTCAAAACCAGAGGCAAATGTCTAAATATAGATAATCTAAATATATTATTATTTAATGTAGCATATTGTAAAAAGCGAATAAATACAACGTCGACGATTTATGCATGTCTAAACATTATTGTTATAATAAATGCATATGAGTGAGTTGGATGAATGAAAAAGAAGTTAAATAAAGTAAAATGAGAACACGATAAAAAAATAATACAAAATCACCTAATCTGTAACAATGCTCAAGCTCGTATGTAAACAAACACAATGATAACTTATTAAATATTACCAGGCCATGTGAAACGAGCAATAAAACATTAGTATAAAACTTGGAAAAATTTTAATTTAAAAAACCAATTACAAATGTTTCGAACTATACTTACAATCAGAACACCAGAGCAGATCAGCGCAAATCGCGCAAAGTCATTCTCTGCAGCCAATGTCAATGCATTCTTCGCTAATCTTGGCACTGTGACTGATGCGACAGTCTTCGAACCTCATCGAATCTGGAACGTCGACGAAACCAGATGCCCGACCGTCCTTACGAAGGTAGTTAAGATCATCACAGCGAAAGGGTTAAAGCGAGTTGTCTAAACAACATCGGCCGAAAGAGGCACAACTGTCTCCTTAGCGTTGGGTATCAATGCGACCGGACAGTCCATCCCATCATTTTACATATTTCCGCGCAAGAATATGCAGAAAGTGTTCATGGACAACGCTGCTCCTGGTGCCGTTAGCGTCGCCAATGAATCCGGATGGATGACGTCACAAGAATTCGTTAAATTTATGGCTCATTTTATCAGCACGCCAACGCATCCAAAGAATCGCCAATTCTATTATTACTTGATAAGCACACTTCCCATCTCAGCGTGAAGGCCATAGATATGGCAGTTGATAATGGCATCACGATGATTTCTTTCCCTCCCCATTGCTCGCATTGTATGCAACCCTTAGATGTCAGCGTATTCGGTCTATTCAAAAAGATGTTCTACACCCAGTGCCAAGCTTGGATGAAAAATCACATCGGTAAAGGTTTGGAATTACATCACATAGCGCCTATCGCTGATAAATGTCTCGATGCGTCTGCCACGCCTAAGAATATCAAATCTGGGTTTAGAGCAACGGATATTTATCCATTCGATCCGAATATATTCACGGCTGAAGATTTCTTAGCGGCTGATTTGAGCGGGGAAATTCAATGCACTGATGACGACAATGACGATCCTGCTAATTGTCGTGTTTTAATAGTTAGTCCAGATGGCATCGAAACCGTCGCACATAAAGAGACCACTTCTGAAGTCACCACTTCTGAAATGGCCAGCACATCATCGGCGCCGAGCACAT